CATTTTAAATCTACTTCCTTCAGTGTTCTAACTGTATGCAATTCTAGTTCCTATTTACAAATTCAAATCAAATTCAGGAACGGAAGAGAATTTTAAAAAGCAAATACCACTACCTGGTATAGGTTGGCAACCACAAAACTTCTTCTTCATGAGGATTTTGGTGGTGTTCACACTCATGAGGACACTTTCCTCTTGGAGGTGAGACTGAACATCTATCCTTGCTTGGCATGTCCAGGGAATTGAATCAGGATTGTCAGCTGCTCTAAGAAGCTCTGCTCTCAGGAAAGTCTGTTTCTGATTCCATAGGGTGCTTTACCATTATACAACCAGCTCTGGCATAAAATCTTGGCACCTGGATGGATAATGATGGATAATGTGCAACAACCACTGCCACCAACAAAACGCATGAGTTGATTCACATACAAGTGGATTAAACAAACACATCTTCCCCTAAAATATCATTGTTTCACCCAAGTAATTTTTCTAAATAACCATAGCATACTTAAAGCTGCAGTCCGTAACTTTTTTTGGTTAAAAATGATCCGAAATCAATATCTGAGCAAGTACATAACCAGCCAGTGTACGTCACGTCTGTAAACATAAAGAAGTTGTCCCGGCTACTAGGCTATCGCATGTGAGGATCCTGCAGGTGGCCGATCGTTTATAGCCTTTTCTCACAGCAGCCAGAATAATTAAATACCATTTTGATGGCAGATTGTAATCCATACAGGATTATGTGTTTATGAAACACATGTGAATGAAATTAAATTATATTCCAGTTTTAAATGTACTAATATCCACACCGGTGCAGTGACTGACTGCCACACATACTCCTCAAAACATTAGATTCATCCGCGCTGGAGCCGTGCCGATTCACAACCCACACAAGCTAGATAATTCAGCACACAGCTGCAATTCCAGGTTTTCAAACAGAGATGGCGACAAAGAGGCAAAACGTACGGACTGCAGCTTTAATGGAAGGCACTGGTCAAGCAATTTCATTTAAAATAAGTGAAGTGAGACACTAAGTGAAATTACTTTGGCAATGGCTGCATAAGTTTCACAGCAACTTGACAGAACTGCCAAAAGCTCACAAAATCTCACATACAGACATGACTGACACAGCCACACATCCATCCACATGCATATTTAGTTTGTTGCCTGATATATGCTAATTCATGCACATAATGCAGATTACTGAGATCGTTATCAGGCTTCAGCTCTTTGAGAACTGTTTGCCCCCAAACAAGCAAACAAGTGAGCTGGAGGAACAAATATATGACCTCATTCTCCCATGCAGCATTGTGTTAAGCAACAACAGTCAGACAAACAAATACATTAACAAAAACAGCGAGAACTACCCTAGTAGTTCGTGGCACCAAGGGTGTGAATAGCATGCAGATGTAAGGATAAACCACAGAGAATCCTTATTACAGTTAATTCAGACACAAATATGCTGAAACTGGCCACTCCTGGATATGAAAAAAAAACTCCCTTTAGAAATAGTAAAGAAAGGAGTTATTTAAAACTAGTTATTCAAAGATGACTCATAGCATTAACGGAGGGAATAAAATTAGAAAAAATTTGCCTGATATATGCTAATTCATGCACATAATGCAGATTACTGAGATCGTTATCAGGCTTCAGCTCTTTGAGAACTGTTTGCCCCCAAACAAGCAAACAAGTGAGCTGGAGGAACAAATATATGACCTCATTCTCCCATGCAGCATTGTGTTAAGCAACAACAGTCAGACAAACAAATACATTAACAAAAACAGCGAGAACTACCCTAGTAGTTCGTGGCACCAAGGGTGTGAATAGCATGCAGATGTAAGGATAAACCACAGAGAATCCTTATTACAGTTAATTCAGACACAAATATGCTGAAACTGGCCACTCCTGGATATGAAAAAAAAACTCCCTTTAGAAATAGTAAAGAAAGGAGTTATTTAAAACTAGTTATTCAAAGATGACTCATAGCATTAACGGAGGGAATAAAATTAGAAAAAATAAATTCTGCTAGTGTGCTGTCTCCCTAGAGGGCTCAGGAAGCTCCTGGAGGCCATCAGGGCCGGTGGTGTTGAAGCAGAGCAATAGGCACTTTGAAAGGAAGCCTAATTAAAAACCAAAAACACTTGCTTAGTCAGACAGGATTCAGAGCAGGAACTTTTTTCTTCATGTCATACTTCTGACAGTATAATGAATCTGTCTAATTATGAATATTAGTTGGTTTAGCATGTATATGTGAGCTGCTCTGTGAGGCTTCTAGAAGCTCTCATAAAACTATAGTCCCAGCAAAGTATACACTGTGCTGTAATATTTGACAAAAGAAACTCAAATTAGCCCAACATAAAATCAATCTTGTAGCTTAATATCTAATCTCGTTCCACTCAAACAAGGCATTTGTAATCATTCCAATCCAACCACATTCCAGGTTTTCCCATTTTCCCATCTTCGCTCTCAGGTTAGAAAAAAACCCTATTGGGGAAACCAAGGAAACAATCATATTTGTTAACAATAATATGGTTTCCAACGATATTTAACATATTCTGTTTCATTCTGACTGCTAATTGTCTATTAACAGTGTTTAATATGTGGTGCTGGTGAATTCTTGCTGGTGAATACATGCAACTGCATTATGCTTGTACTGGACTGATCGTGGAGTGAGAGAGAACACAGATCTTATAACATAAAAACCACCAGGTAAAATCGGTTTCACTTCAGTAAAAATACTGCTCTGATCCCCTCTTCTCGGCCTAGACATCTCCTGCATATCCTCCCCATATGCCCCTGGCATATACTGCAGATTGTTAACACTAGTGTGTCTAATTTGTAACCCTGTTGGCATCCCTCAAAGTTCCTTAATGAAGCCAGCTAAACTGTCAGACTTATTAGGCTTGGTTCTGGAGAAACAGATTTGTGATTTACAAATCCCCAGGGGAAGTAGGGTTTACATTACTTGCCACTAGTTCTCATTTACTTCAGTATCTAAGTACATCTGTGCTAGTTTGCTGTGACTAAGCTGCGTTTCACTACAGGGAGAGGTGCCTATTATTCTGCATCTAGAAACACCTTTCCTCTTAGTTGGCCGTTTGTTGCTAGATGGCTATTTACTTGTTTGCAACCATGCTATAACACAACAAACACAGTCGTGTCCTGTCTGAGCCTGCCAAGACTATAAGAAAGTGAACTGCTTATAATCGAAAAATCGAAGCGATTGACTAATCATTAAGAGGTTAAGATAAATGGTGAAACAGGCAATTAAAGCAAAACAGTAAACCAACTTGAGACCAAACCTCCTATTAGCCCATGTTAACTATAGCAAATTAGCAGTGTAAAAATATAAACCCAATTAACTGTAAAATAAATAAATAAGAAAGAGCAAGGTAAATAAATACACTCATTATTAACCACATCTAACTAAATCTAACTAAATGGATCAAATAACTATTGCTTCACGCGACGCTATATTTTCAGTGGCACTTTCTTGTTGCCACTTTTTAAATTGCCACTCTGGCTTTATTCCTGATTCATATCTTTTGCATCCTGCTGAAGAGTAACTTTAACAATATAATATATGCAGATTCTAATAAGTCAAGTTGACAGTGTAAGACACGGTGTACAAAAAGTATACAAGAAAAAATGTATTTATGTTAATGTAAATGCATTTCTGCATGCCTTTTGAAAGCATTTCAAACAGTAGCAGAATGTTATGTCTTCAGTGTTTACATTTACATTTAAAACAAGTTGATTTAATTCACTGAGCACTCATTTAAAATACCAATCATTTGTGAATTCAAATGAATTTGTGAATTTCTGTAAAAGCAGTCTGGAAGCTTTCTTTCTTGAAATATGGCAGCATTAATCTAGGTAAACCATTTTGCTTTGCTAAAAAAAAAAAAAAGACAAACACTTTATTTTATGGTCCAGTTGGTACAAGGTGTCAGCAAAATAAAAGCAGTATGCACATAACGTCAATACAGACCTGTTGGTGTAGCTTATGAGGAGAATAAAGAAGAGATTAAACCTAATAAACACTGTGAAATTTGTGCTACGTTTGTTACATAATAATTACATGGTAATTACCCTGTAATATACCACATTAAAGAACATTTCCCCTAGAGCAGGGGTAGGCAAGTTCGGTCCTAGAGAGCCACAGTCCTGCAGAGTTCAGCTCCAACCCTAATCAAACACACCTGAACAAGTTAATCAATGTCTTCAGGATTACTAAGGCTATAGGCAGGTGAGGTTTTTTTTTCAGGGTTGGAGCTGAACTCTACAGGACTGCGGCTCTCTAGGACCGAACTTGCCTACCCCTGCCCTAGAGCCTAATTAGGAGCTAAAATGTTAAAGAGGTGGAACACATTTTTTTCTGAATGTAAAGAATTGCTGTTTGTCTGGGGGGTGATGAGACGCTGTGATTTAATCAGTTCGGACATAAAGGATAATACATCAGAAGGTGCTAGGGTGTAGACAGCAACATGATCTTAGGGTCAGTTATAATTTCCTTCCTGATGTGGAATATATGAAGACACCTTGAGTCTTTAGGTTAAAGCCACGTTACAAACTTTTCAAGACAACACCAATTCACACTTTCAAAAACAGTATGTACTCAGACGTTCTGTTACAGCCTACACACTCATTGATAGATGTACTAATTCACAGCAAGTTCAAAAAGTTACATTCACAAATGTTGTTTAAAAAAGGAAATGGATTTCCCAATGTTCCCTACATCATTCCTACAATACAACAGAAGCTCACCTCGCTATACACATAAATAGTCTTGTATCAACTTGCCAGGTCCATTTTCTCAATCCCTCTTTTTTCCCTCTTCCTTCAGCCCCTAATGGATGTGAAAATGGAATTGCATATCCTGGAGATCTGCTGAGCTCATATTTTGTCTTAACGTGATTTAAACCAAATAATCGTGCTCTCGTCACATGTGACGACACACTTTGATGAGATGAAAATGCAAATAGGTGCATCACACCCTGACACACTAATTCATCCTTTAAATTACTTACTTATTCAGTCAGTCAAAAGCTCTGCGTGTCTTTTCCAAAGGCAGGTCTTCTTTATTGTGTCTGACAGCCCCAAACCTGTCCTTCTCCACCCCCTGAAATCCACACTTTTTGCTCTTTAACTATGAACAGCATCCATCACTGTCCGGAGCCCTTCTAGTCTAACAGAGCGTGAGATCGGAAGCGTTGAAGGCAGAATCGCAGTGGCCGCCGTCTGCCGAAGGAGCTCCGCTACGACCGAGCGCATTAACGACACCTGACCGTCCGTCACAGACAAAGTGAACTAGTGACACACTTACGTGCACCGCGCTGATGAAATATCGCAGTGATGTCTCCCTCGCTCCTGTGTCTCTCTCTTTTTCCCACCTCTCCACTAAAGCGCAGCAGGAGCGGGCTGTGGAAATTCGCAGCAGCACTCGCTGAAACCCCTGGCAGAATACATCACCACTTTCTCCTTTATGAGTCACAATGCACACACACACACACTTCTGATCCGTTCCTACCTGCCACATACAGAGCGTCTCAAACAAGCACGCACTTTAAAGCATTTTCTTTTACCTTTACCTCCATGCACTACAGTTTAAATAGTCTTAACTCTATCACAAACACATACACCTCACGGCATAGGTAGGCTTATGTGCTCAATGCGTGCTGCTGGTTACCTGTGGCTGCTGTTCTAGATGCCATAAGGATCAGCGTCCCTGTGATCAGCGTCTGAGAGATCAGCTAAGAGGAAGAGGGAACAGCCAGCACTCTGTCTCCACGACAACGCCTGGCAGATGCCACACCTCCAGTTCAGGCTCCTCAAGAACAATAAGCGTTTATTGCCACCCTCCCTCTCTCTCTTTTTCCTTCTCCATCCGCCGCTTCCCACTGTAAAGCCGCGCTCACTCGGAGAGAGTGACGCGCTTGTGTGTGACGTTTCCCCAAAAGCAGGGATTCTGCATGTGTGTCTGTTAGACTGAGTTCCACAAGGGGATTAGGCACTTTTCATCTTCATGACGCACACTAGAAAAAGAGAGAGAGAGGGCGAAAGAGACCGGAGATGGAGAGACAGAGGATGGGGTCGTCATGGAGATTTTCACCCATGAAGGGAATGTAGGGTGAATGACATGAGATAGAGATAGAAAGAAAGAAGTGGAGTTAGTGAAGCTCTACGACACACTTTTGATTCAGTTTGGCATAAAAAACTATCATGCTAAAAAAGGGACTTGTGCTGATTTGCATGCACATGTTCTCGCTTTCTCCTTCTGAGCTTTACTCGTGTAACCGGCTAGCCCTTGGGGAGGCCCTTCTACTTCTCTATATTGCGTCTGACTTAAAGCTCCAGCCTTCAGATTAAAATAGCTGCAGCCAAATGCCTTAAACCCGCCGCCTTTTCTAAGATTACAAAGCACTCGCTTGTCCAGCAACGTGAACTTCAATATGAAACCCTGCTGAGGGGACAAAGCGAGGGCAGATTCCCTGATGGTACTTTAGGTAACACAAAATGCCATGTCTAATTCCTATTAACATGGTGTAGATGGCAATCTGCCATTGGGAGTATGACAGGCTCTTCATTCTACATACTAAACTAAGGATGCTACTGCCAGTAATTGTGCACAATGTAGAGGGTGTTACAATTAAGCCACTCTCCATCAGGTTTAAGCCTCGCTAACAAGAAAATTATTGACTGAAGAGGGTGTCAGCCATACAGATGAAGCCTTTGATGTATATGATCTGATAGTAACAAGTTAGTCGACGGTATCTGGGGTGTCAATGTATGCAGCATGTGCTGTACCGAATGCCAAATGTGTTTTCAAAGGTGCAGCTGTAATTGTAGAGCTCTATCATCTGATTCTGTCATGCTGATCTGATATCAAAGAAATGAAAGCTTATTGTGATTGCACATTCCAGGAGCAGGAATCCCACACATGCAAAGCCAGATAGACCCAGAGACAATTACAGTGAAGCTTGGGCAGGCTAGACTTCACCACATTACTGTAATAAAAAGAAAATCGCATTCTGTTTGGTGCGAGCAAAAGTGCAATCTCTACTGCTTTTAGGTGTCTGTAAAAGTGTTCGCTTCTTAACATACAAACACATGTGTAGTAACAAAGAAACATTACATTCACAATGGAGCTTAATCCAGAGTCACTCTTTTGACTGCTTAATCTTGTTCTGTGCACACTAAATTTGGTTATTTATGAGAGGGACAATTGCATTCTACAATCAAATTCACTTGGAAAATACTGGTACTTGACAACCAAGTTAATATTAAACCTCTGCTGTGTACAGAACCGAACTGAACGACTAGTTGTTAATGCAGAAATGCTTCTCTCTCTTTCGGACACTGACAGCTCGTCGATGTGGGTCTTCCTTCACTGTGAGCACTGCTGGCAAATTACAGAGACTGAGGTACGTGTCTTGACTTATTCGCAAATTTTGACAACCACCTGTATCTCTCTACCAGCCCTGTGGTCTAATGGCGATCCATTACTGTCCAAAGTGAGCGTGCTATATAAAAAGAGCAGCTAAGTGAAAAGAAAAACTTTCCAGATGATGAGATGCCTCTGGTTGCTAACATTACTTCACAAATAGCCATATAGGCTAATCTGGTAGCATCCATGCATGTTTATTTTTAACACCCAGATGGTTCAGGAGTGACTCCTGTAGTCTGTTCACACTTAAATTGAACATTTGCTGCTGCATTTACTCCCAAAACTGTCAAATTGCTTTTTTAGCTATACATAATGCCTTCTGGTTGAACCAATAGTGAATGGTTGGAACTAGTTGCTTGATGAACATTTGAACAGTAGGGAAGTGTTTAGGAAACCTGTTTGAAAACAACAACAAAAACTATTTTTCCCGTTCCAATCTTACATACAAACTGTATACAATTCTGTTTCGTTCTGCTTGTGGTGCAGAAATGACATGTCACCTATCATGTGCCCAAATAAACATGACTAAATTCACCAATAAAAAGGCTTGATGCACTGAACTGACAACATTTGAAGAGACAATCATTTTACTTCTTTATGAATAAGAAAATTAAACATTCTAAAGTTAAATGTAAAAACAACCAATTTAATTATGCAGGTGACGCTTTGATGTTTCTTTGCATGTTTGATCATTTCAGGCATCTTTGTTTGAAAGCAACAAACCGAGATGCAGAGACACGATGGCTCACTTTGATGTGAAAACAAGGAGCCCAGAGTGAGATACATTCATTAATGTCTCTTCACACATCTGCCGTGCAAAAAGAAGCACCTGTGAGAATCGTGCAGCATCGTGTGTCAGAGTTTAAGTGTGAACAGAACACATTTCCTCAACTCTCACTCACACTCCATATGTAGCGGTTCACTGGCCAGCCGGTTGCTATGGGAAACCATCAGAGCACATCAAAACGAGCCCTCGAGGGACTCCTGCCACGAGCAATCCTATCCACTGAAACGCACTTAACAGTGTGTGTGACAGAGTGCCGTTTCCGGGATGCGGACAATTCGGTTTCTCACGCCTTGCCTCATAAAAGAAATAGAAACTCATCTATCAGCAGTCTAATAACGGCCAGGAAAGCATTTAGGGGTCATGCTGTGCTTGGATATTGAGCGAGATATTTTAGAAAATGGAATAATTATTGGGCAGTACAAATATAAACCTAAAGAACAAGGCAAATAGATACAAATCTGTACATGAATCACCCTTCCGTGAGACATGGACTGTGATTTATGTAGCATTTATAAATAGAGATCGCATTTATTCCTGAACATGGCATACTGACTTCAGAGAGTATTGTGTTAAAAGGAAAGGAAAAGACGTGACGTGTGGCCAAGTATAGTGACCAATACTCAGAATTTGGGCTCTGCATTTCACCCATCCAAGTGCACACACACAGCAGTGAGTAGTGAACAAACACACACACAGTGAACACACACCCGGAGCAGTAATAATAAAAAATACATGTATGCGTAACATTTATTTTACTGCAAGCAAATGTGGTGTTAAATTTTATCAGACAAGTATATCGAACAGAAGCATATGATTCCTCAAACAAACAGAGAAGTCATGTGAACTCCGTGGCAGTGATCTCAGGCTGTAGACATACAGGCCTGAGATCTTCAAGTCAGTGAGGGGGTGACTAATTGGCAGAGACAAAGTGAAGGTTGAGTCTCCATCTTGTGGACATTAATCATAATATTCATAGATGTGTATCTGACAATCTTTCCTCCCAAATGCTCTTCAAGTATATTACTTTCACATTTAGGTTATTGGCAGATGAAAATGCTGCACAGAAAAGTGCATATTGTGTAAGTGACAATTATTGAAGCATGTAAATGAGGATTCCACTAAATCTAAACGTTGTGTAATCTAAACCTTATATACCAAAAAATGTGCTGACTCCAAACTTTTGAACAATAGTGTGTGTGTGTGTGTGTGTGTGTATTATACACACACACACACACACACACACACACACACACACAGTTCAAAAGTTTGGAGTCAGTACATATTTTGGTTTGTTTGTTTTGTTTTTATGAAAGAAATTATTTGTTTTATCGAGCAAAGATAAATTAAATTGATCAAAATTGACAGATTTCTAAATGCTTTCTTGAACTTTCTATTCATCAAAGTCTCCTGAAAAATCTACCAGTTTCTACAAACATATTAAGCAGCACAACTGTTTTCAACACTGATAATAATAAGAAATTTTTCTTGAGCAGCAAATTAGAATGATTTCTGATGGATTATGTGACACTGAAGACTGGAGTAATGATTCAGAAAATTCAGCTTTT